AAAAAAACTATCATGTCTGGCTTCGTTCACTTAGTGTTGTATGTTCAGGGTTCATCCACGTTGTAGCATGTGTTAGAATTGTATTTCTTTGTATGGCTGAATAATATTCATTGGATATACCACATGTTTATCCATTCATCAGTTGATGGACATCTGTGTTGTTTCCGCCTTTTGGCTATTGTACATAGTGTTGCTATGAACATTTGTGTACACATTTTTGTGTGGATATGTTTTTATTTCTCTTAGATATGTACCTAGGAGTGCAATTGCTAGGTTAAGTGGGTACTCGACGTGTAACTTTCTCGGGAACTGCCAAACTTTTCCACAAAGGCAGCGCCATTTTACAGTCCCACCAGCAATGCACAAGTGTACAATGTCCCACATAGATTTCATATGCCCAGGTAATTTTTTACCTTGTAAATATAGTTAAAAATCTATTTCTAAGGGATTACTTCAACAATCAAGGACTCTTGTTTTCTTTTGTTATAGTAGTTGAATAAAAGGAGGGAAAGCAGCTCTTTTTTTTTTTTGATCAAGAAATCTTTAGTTCCTTAATCCTAACGGAGTACTATTAGTCTGTTTACATTGTTGTCAGCTTCATATGTTAGAGAATATAAAAGGCAGGCCTGGAAAAAACTTTTGTAATCACTTTTTTCATGGGAGGGTGAAAAGCATAAGTAAGACTTTCAAAGTAATTTTCAGGGTGTGGAGCATTTAAGATTGTTTTGTGCCAGAGACCACAAAACAGGTTTTTATAATGTGCTTTTTCATCCAGGCAAAATCCTGCCTAGTGTTAATAAATGTTTGGGGCCAGAAAGGACTGAAATGTATCCAATAGTGCTGTGTATTTCTCTTGGATTGTCTTCTCTTCAAACAGATCATAAACCTAGACTCTAGAGTCCCACTAATGTCAGATGAGTTCCATTTTCACCTAATCAGACTCTTGGCAGTTTATGAGTTGGTATCTCTACTTTTTAGGTATAGGTCAAACATGCGTTAGCGTAATGGAATGGTTCTTTTTAAGTAAATTGGAAAGCATTTTCCTCTCCTTTTTATTTATTTTTTTTGTGGGAGTCAAACCAGCAGCCTTGTTGTTAAGAGTGCACCCTCTATCCACTGAGCCATCCGGGCTGCAGCTCAGCTCAAGGTGTGGAGTTCAGTCCCAACTGCGGGTGGGTGTAACCCACCACTGAACAGGCAGTCTTGTTATTAGGAGCACGTGCTCTCACCTGCTGAGCCATCCTGCCACCTGTTGACAGCTCAGCTTGGGTACAGCTCAAGCTAAGCTCACTGGTCCATGTGAGAATTGAACCAGTGACCCTGTTGCTCAGAGCTCATGCTCTTCAGCAAACTCTTAGCCAACTGAGCCACTCGGCGTGCCCTCCCCTCTTTTCTTATATATCACCAAGATACTATGTTTCTTGTATATTTAGTCCTGATTCAATGTAAATCTGATGAAGGTAAAAAAAAATTACTGTTGATAAGGCAACTTGCTAACTCACTAAATACATGAACTCTAGTGAACTGAGGGAAAGTAGCCTAGACTTCAGAAACTACCAACATGGAACACATTTGCCACATTTGTTTACTATGTTGGTCAAGTCAAATGAAATTGTAACTTTTGTGTCCCATAAGCATGTTGAAGGATTACATTATATTCCTCTTCTTTCAGAACAAAGGCCAGAATTTTGCTTTTGACTTTTAGAGGCTTGAAATCAGTTGACTTAACCCTTGCTGATCTTTGACTCTGCAAAAACAGTAGCGAGTCACTGTTATTAACTTGCACTAGAGTTAGCAATTAGCACCCTTTGGCACATACATTTTATGGGCCATTAACTTTATTGGAGTTATTAACATTGGCATGTCTGTTTTAACATAGTTTCTATAATTATTACTTCAGGCATGAAAAATTGGAAGCACATTACCTTGTGGTATGCATACCCTCCATACCACTTAGAAGTTTTTGTCCCTTCTTGCTCTGTTTTTTTTCCAAGTGTACTTGAAAACGTGTGCTTGTATTTGTGTGTATACATTTGTACGTGCACAAGCACATACACACGTGTAGGCACATAGAGTTTAGAGGTTGTTTTAATATACATGGGGACCTATAGCTTACTTTTTCATCTCACAGAATGTCTTGGAGATCTTTCCATGTTAGTGTTTTTATCTACCTCATCCTTTTTTTTTTTTTTCTTTTTAAAGGATGTCTGTGTGGTAAAATAATCATGACATAAAATTGACCACTTTAAACTGTACAATTCATTGGCATTTTGTAAATTCACAGTGTTGTGCAACCATCACCACTATCTAGTCCCAAGACATTTTTATCACAGCAGAAGGAAACCCAGTCTCTCCCCATCCTTCCCTCCTCACCAGTCCCTGGTAAACACAATTCTGCTTTCTGCCTCTAGGAATTTGCCTACTCAGAATATGTCATACAAATGGTTTCATACAGTATGATCTTTTATGTCTGGCTTCCTTCATGCAGCATCATATCTTCAGGGTTCATCCATGTTATAGCATGTGTTAGAACTGTATTCCTTTGTATGACTGAATAATGTTCCACTGTATGGATACACCACGTTATGTTTATCTGTTCATCAGCTGATGGATATTGGTGTTTCTACCTTCTGACTATTGTTAAATAGTGTTGCTGTGAACATTTGTGTACACGTTGTTGTATGGATATGTTTTTATTTCTCCTAGATATATACCTAGGAGTGCAATTGCTGGGTTAAATGGGTACTGTGTAACTTTCAGGAACTGCCAAACTTGTTCCACAGAGGCTGCACCATTTCATTCATTCCCACCAGCCACGCCCAAGGGTTCCAATATCTTTACATCCTTACCAACACTTATTTTCCATTTTGTTTTGTTTTTTAATTAGAGCCATCTAATGAGTGTGACGTTGTATCTCATTGTGGTTTTTGATTTGCATTTTTCTAATGACTAATGATGTTGAGCATTTTTTCATGTGCTTACCGGTCATTTATGTATCGTTGGAGAAATGCCTGTTTAGGTTTTTTGCTCATTTTTAAATTGTGTTGTTTTTCTTTTTGTTGTTGAGTTATAAGAGTTCTTTACATATTCTGGATACTAGACCCACATCAGATACATGAGTCCCATTCTGTGGGTGGTTTTTTTTTCAGACCTGGTTCTTTCTAACGGCTGAAGACGATCCCCTGAGCCCTGTATTTAGCTCTCTCTGTTGCTAGACGGTTTTCCCCTTTACTCTGAAAGGTACAAATAGTTGTTTGATTTATGAGAATAAACTTTTTAAATTATTTTTTTCATCCAGCTTGGTGCAAAGAAAGAGCGGAAACTGATTTCATTCCCTAATCTATCATCTACCTACTTACATGCTCGCGTGCCTGCTGTTTTAGACAGTAAGCGTGCCCGTTGGTCACGTGGTGGAACCTTTTTCTTGCTCTTAGTATTTAATGTAGGATTTTTCTAACTAGGTTAAATATTTATAATAAAATAACACCACAGATTGATAGTTTAAGCACAGAATGAAAAGGAGGACAAAATTTCTATATTTATAACTGTTTCCTTTCTCTGACCGCCTGGTGCTTTTCGGTGGGACTAAAGATATCTAATATGTCAATGCAGACTCCGAGGGTGGCCAGTTCACAGTGATGCAGATTGTTTAAACATTTCTTTTTACCAAAAAAAAAAAAAAAAGCATCAACATTACTTTTAGTATAATTGAGATAATACTGTGACGGATGAGACGGTATGCCTCGTAGGTGCCTAATAGAAGAAAGAGACATGCACATTAACACTTGGACCATGAAATTAGGTTTAGGAATTATGTGAAAATATACTTTTTTTTTGTTTTCGGTCCAGAAATACTCCTTTGAAATAGTTTGACATCCCTTTGTTTCCTTTCCTGTCTCTCATGACAATACCTCTATGGAGAAAGTCAGATGTGATTCTTAGTTTGGTGACTGAGGAATGAAGGCAGCTGGGAGGGAGGTGCTGGGAGCCCCTGTTTAAGGGCCCAGGATTGGAATCCGGCTCCATCCTTGCAGCACTTACCAGTGATGTGACCTCTAAGCTTCAGTTTTCTCATCTAGAATCAGAGGAGGTAATGGGCATAGCTAGCTAAGAGGGCTGTTGAGGCTGAAATGAGACAGCGTTTGGAAGTGCTCTGTACAGTGCTTGCCTCGTGGGGGGCCCTCAACCAAGGGAAGCTGAGTGCCCAGCTTAAGAATAGGTCCCCATCTTTAGGTATCTGATGTTCTTATTACCAAGCCAAAGTATTTACTTTGTTCTGTTTTATGAAACGCACTCACCTTCTTCTGTGCTAAAAGAACCAGTCCCATGGTGGTACAATACTTGGCATCAGCCTATTCTGTTGCAGTTATATATACAAGAAAGTGATTGATTTCCCTGACTTTCTCCTCGCCGTTGATGTAGAGTTTCCCAGTTGATGATTCCTTCAAAAAAAGTTGAGGACCATGTCTCAGAATCAGGGAAATTTGAATAATTTTAAATGGCTGTATAAGATTTAACTACTTAGACAAAAATTAGATGTCGGGTGCTCTTTCAGCAGCCACTGAAAAGCGAGGTAGTTCAGGCATGTAAGGAAGTATGGAGAAAATGTTATAAACACCGTGGGTCTACTTTCACGTTAAGAAATCAGAGATTGAAAATACTACTGTAGCTTACTGTGTCATTGACAGGTGTCTATTTCCTTGGCAGGCCTCCAGAAGGGACCATTGCCTTGAACTGGTGCTCATCATTTTAAAATGTGCTGTTTTAACAATGTCTTTATTTTTTCCACAGCTATCTGCATCATATTGGTGCATTTACTGATCCGCTACAGATTACACTTCTTGCCAGAGAGCGTTGCTGTTGTTTCTCTAGGTAAGTGCTTATTGGTGACTCTATCATAAAAGCAGTAGCCCTGACAGCAATAACTGTCATTTTTTTCGAGTGCCTCCCTACCGCCAGGAACCACAAGAAATATGGTACATACCTGATCTCATTTAATCCTCACTGCAACCTGCCCTGAAGGTGTTATGATTCCATTTTACAGAGATGGGCACTGGCTCAGAGAGGAGTGATGACCTCATCAAGGTCACATAGAAGCCCCTCTATACAGCTCGAAGGCCTTTTCTACTAGATCTACCCTCAGGGCAAACTGACCTGTACTACTAGGCTATGCTGACATCCAGCTGAACTAAGGCAAGCAATTGACACTTAATTCACAGAGTCACTGAATTTTACAGCCTAAAGGGGCTCTCACTTTAGTGTCAAGAGTTAGAGCTGAAGCCTTCAGGGAGCACTCCATTCTTCCACCTCACATTTCTCTTTTGTTTTCTGTGGCAATGAACTCTTAAGATAATTAGTCTCTGTTTAGAGTAAATGAATCGATGTAAGAACAGGTGTGAGCTCACATGCAAGTTCCTTGAAGTGGTTAGTGAAGGAAGAAGCAGAGACCTGACTTTTTAGTTAAGTATTAAGAGCAAGCCGAGGGCCGGCCGAGTGGCGCGATGGTTAAGAACTGGCTTGGGACGCCAGAGGGCCCCGGTTCGGATCCCACATATGAGGGCCAGTGACACTGACCTCCACAGCTAAGATGCTGAACAACAGCTCAACCTGCAGCTGGGCTGCCGGGAGTCGCTGGCGACGGCGTAGGCTGCAACCCCTGTGGCAGTGGGTTGCCATGGGCTACCGTGTGTAGCCAACAGCCAGCGTGTGTAGCCAACAGCCAGCGTGAGTGGCCAGCAGCCGCAGTGAGCGGCCGTGCAGAAGCCGGCGACTGATCTGCCTTGCCCGGGAAGAGCGCAATGATGGTGCCAACATGGGCCAGTGAAGCGACATCCTCCACAACTAGACTGAAGAACAAAACGACAGCAACTTGTCTGTTCCCCTTCCCCCAATTCCCCAGCACTGTTCCCTCCCCCAATTCCCCAATAAAATCTTAAAAAAAAAAAAAAAAAAAAGCAAGACGAAAATGTGGGTGGGGATGCTTAAGGCATAGTAAATGAGGTCTCGCCAAGGTCAGCAAAAGCTTTCATCAGCTTATTATATTGCACTTGCTTTTCTAGTTTCCGTTTGCCTACTGATAACATGTCGTTTTTCCATATCACCACTGACTCTGTATAAGTTAACTTTCTTTGCCTTGCAGATCTTGTTTAGTATATGTGGTAACTCTTTTACAATATAGCCGTGGTTTAGGTTAGCTTTGGAAATGACCACTCAGGCTATGTTCATTCTCCTTCCCCTGTCACCCCCTAAGTCCCTACTACTCTGGTTCACCCCTCCTGTGTGTTCCCTGGACATCACAGGACTACTAAGTGCCAGGTTCTGGCCTATGAGCTTTCACACTGCCATCTCATTTAAGCCTCATGAGCCCCAGGTGATGCCATATTTGAAGGAAGAGGCACCACTGGATAGTACTGATCTTCAGTAAAGAGTTGGAAACCAGTTTTACTCAGAGTTCCTATTCTTTACTTAGCAGGCTCTTCAGCTGCACGTCCTGGCAGATTCCGACAACCTTAGCTAACAAGATAGCCTCAGAGCTCTTGACAGTGGGAGGACCATTCATTAGCATTCCATTCCTGATATTAAGCCTGTTGAAGATAACCTTCATAGCTAATACCTGTTATTCTGGGGCATTCAAAAAAAAAATCATCCTAAGGAATTGACAGTTTTCCCATTGGTTTCCATAGTGTCATAAGAACAAGAACTATAGTGAGTGTGTATTTAGGTATTGTGCACATGGAAATGAAAAAGATGGTTCTTATCATTTGGTTTGGAATCTCAGGTTCTTCACAGTCTCTTGACTATATGGGTAATTGCCAGTGAATGACCACCAGTGCTTGTGTTAGGACTTAACAGCAGACACTGTTGGTTACCTACCCAGCAGCCATTTCCTCCCTTCTTCCTTGAAAATGGAACCCTTATTTGGTCACGATGCACCCAAGGAAGTTGGGCCCCTCGAAGTCAAGACTGGGCTTCACCGTCCGAATTCCATTCTCCTTTGCCAAAGAGTAGAGGCAGCAAGGCAGTGCGAAAACCAGTTCTGGCCAGTGAGACCAAAGGGAAGTATGCTTGGAAGTGGGCTTGGGAAATTTTTTCCTGTCTGATAAAAAGAGTAATTGTCCCTTCCTTCGATACTGTCTATGAGGATGTGATGCCTGGAGCACCAACAGCCATCTTGCGATAGTAGCTCAAAGACAAAAGCTAGAATGCTAAGAATTGCCAAGGGGCCAGATGGGAAGCCCAGATTCTTGACTGCATTTTTGTTGCCTTGAATCGATAGCCCTGAAGCTACCTATCTCAGAGCTGCTTGTTATATGAGATAATAAACACCTATTGTTTAAGCCATTTTTAGTCAGGTGTTCTTTTACTTGCAGCTAAAAACATCTTAACCGATACAGGGCATTTTCCATTCAAGGGACAAAATCAATTCAAACTGACTCACAGAAAATAAACTGGTGGAGGTGGCGTTGCATACCCATTGGCTCACAGAACCAAAAAAACTGCTGGTGGTGCTTGCTTCACACTTTGCTGGAGGGAGTCTCCTAGATCCAGTTTTTCTCCATTTCTCAACAGTGCTTCTCTTTGTTTTGGCTTCACTCTCAGGCAGGCTTTCTCCACGGGTAAGCCGTGATGGCTCCAGGCTCACTGTCGTTACAGTCGCAATCAGAATGGGAAAGGTGGCCTTTTCTCCCTGGTTCCACCAGAGCTTGTAGATGAACTCTGACCACATGGCCACCCCAGAACGGGACATGGGGTGGAATGGCGTTGGGGTTCAGCCAACGCTGTCCCTCCAGTGTCCTTTCTTCACTGATGCTGCAGAAATAACTGTAGCCTCTGCAGCCAGGCCTCGGGAGGGGGATGGAAAGTAAGTCTCGCTTGCAATAATTATTTGCTAACTCAGGTGGTTGGAACGCTAAGCGCACTTCCAGGGAGAGGGCTGGGGCCCAGAAAGTCGTTTTTATTCTATTAGAGGACATTTGGTCGGAATTTAGAAAAGCTGACAAAGCTATCCAAATAGTTCTGTATTTCATAAAGCTATGTCAATTGCAGGAGAACTTTTCTCCTACTGGAGCAAAGTATAACAAAATATTGAGATATCCATTATTTCAAGAATTTCTGACTTGCGTGCCAAAAAAGAATCCAGATGAAGCTGCCAGAGAAAATGGGGTTTTCATTCTTTCGGGGATAAATTTTTCTAGCCTCCCTTTTCCAGCCAGAAGTTACTTTTTAGTCTATACTCGTTTAGAGACACTATTGGCCTTTTGTGTGATAGTTAAGCAGAATTCCTAAGAAATTGTTGGTACAGAAAAGGACTGTGTATTGTAAAGGCACATTTTTTCCCTTCTATTTTACTGTGTTTTCAAATGGACCTTGAGACTTTTTTCATTCTTTATAAAAACATACTATCAATATGAAGTTCTAAAGATATTTCCTTGGCCCTTGTTCAAAGCTTTCCATACTTTATGAAGTTCTGTAGTTTGGGTCACTTTTTAAATAATAAAAGTCTTGCACAGTTAAACAGCTATATGTAAAAAGAAAAATCCTTTTCACTGACAACTTCAACTATTTTTATCATGCTTCTTTCTCTTCCAAGCCATTTGTAGACATATACATATTAAATGACTTGGTTTCAGTTTATATCATTTTTGTGTTCTTTCCACATATTAAATTTACATTTTTATTTTCATTCGCTATTTAGTGCCAATTCACACTGTTTATATATTTTAGGCTGAAATTTATAAGGAAAGAAAATGAAGTAATTGTATTGCCTACTATCCTTCGTTGTAGCTAGCAAAAAACAGGAGTAGATTTTTTTTTCACAATCATGCTTTTTATGAGAGCAAGGAAAGACCGGAATGGGGTTAAGTAAGGGCTGGAAGTTTGACTTTCCAATGCTAGGATTTAGCCTGAATACTTCTGATCATTAGAAAAACCACATTTTAACTTAGAACTACATTTGATCGGACCGTTGCATGACTAGGAAACACAAAAGTGCCCCCCTGCCATAACCTCCTTAACTATGTTTGATCTTTTAGTTATGTTAATGCTTTCTTGTTTTGACTGAAGGATTTTAATTTATTTATTTATTTATTTATTTTTAAGACTAATACTCTTTTTGTCAAATGGGGGTTGAGTGGAAGCTGATGAAAAATCACTGAGTTCCTGAGTTAACATTGACTAAAGGGAATTCTGGAAAAAGCAGATACAGTAATTATATTCTAATTGTATGTAAGTTCTAAAAAACGTTTAAAGCTTCAAGGAAGACTCCTAACTGTAACTGTAACAGCTTTCATTACTTTTTGGACTATTAGAGTCTAATGCTGATGCCGCTTAAAATGTCCCTTGGGTAACTCGCCCTGAATCTTCTGTGTTTTGATTTATTAGAGAAGAAACAGGCTTTCACATGTTGGGATTAGAGTAGCTGTCTTGGAGACGGAGGCCAAAAGTGGTTGTCAAATTGACAAAATGATTGCATTAGACTAAGGATTTTCCAGGCTGTCACATTTTAAGGAAGAGTGCTAGCACAGACTTTTAGCTTCCATGTTTCTGGAAATACGGATCAGGGGTAACAATTTATTCTTGGAACATCTTGTTGCTGTTTTGCTGCCATTAGCTAACTGTGTGCTCCGTGTGTAATAGCTTCCTGCTTTTGCCTGGAGTGTTGCTTTGACTTGCCTAGTTTTATGGTTATCTTCTCTTGGTTCGGCATTTTGTTATCTTAAAGCTGTATTTCATACTTAAATCCTCCAGATATGCCAGAATAGTGAGGGAGTCTAAATTTTAAAAGAGAAAACGTCTTTCAAGAATTCTATTCTGAAGCTTACTGCCTTTGGGCTGATTTCTGTAAATTTCCCCTTTCACCACATAAATGCTCT